AATTTAGCACGTATACCGTATGCCCACTTAATTCCAATGGAGATCCTTAAAATAATCATGGCAGTGGAGTGAGCTCCACCCGTGTGGTCTTCTGAGGCTCCTCTCAGATCGGGGGCATGCCAAGTCATTGTTTCTAGGAGTGTCGCACCCCAAGAAGTCCGAGGTCCACTATCATTTGATCTCCAATCCGTATGAGGAGTTCAAAGGATTTCATGGTCTTCCCCGGGCCGTCCACTTCCACGGCCTCGACTCCTTCCACGTCGGAAGCGTCGGAAGCGTCCGAACTCCTCGCTTCGCTTCGCTGGCGGAAGCCTCCGGTCGCGAAGCTCCAGGACGCGCACTGCGAAGCTCCTCACGAGTAGTTCCAGCTTGCCGGAGCTCCTGGGACCTGGTTGGTGTGGAAGACACCAAAGGTGGGAAGAAGGCTGACCGAATAGTAAAAGACATGCAGGAAAGATGGCAGGTGGATTCTCGGATCGTGTTGTGGTTTGCACTGCTTGCAACCCGCCAAAAGAGAGATTGGTGCTTTTAACATGTTGATTCTTCTGGTTTCGACCTTTTCTCATGTATTCTTTTCCCCGTTTCGCTTCGCGGTGTCCAGTTTTTTGGGGGGGAGGACCACGGTGCGGGGCCGAGCGAGCTCGGAGAGGGTGGACCAGCTCGGAGAGACGGGTTTTCACGGCCGCAGTGGCCGCAGCTCTGGACCGACACCTCGGCTGGTGTCGGTCCTGGTGTAGTCGGAAGAGTCGGGTGTCGGTCATGTTGGGTCGTCCAAACCGTGAACCGAGTAGCCCAACCGAGGGCGGTGTGAACCGAGTCTGCATTTGGGGGGGGAGTATGTAGGTGTTGTTTGCTTTGGCCGATCGTTTTGGTGATGTTTCTCTTCCCGGTTCCGCAAAGTTCTGAAGATGCAACCCATAGCAGCGTAGAAGAAAACGGCAACCATGGTACTCACAGACATCATCAAAGGGATGGATGAGTTCGGCTGGGGGCTTTCATGCAGTGGGCACATCTATTTAATTTCATGTGAGAACATAGGAACTCCAAAAAAACTACCATGATCCAGGGATCCTTTGTTTCATGATGGTAGCCACCCTTCTACGGTACTCCAGAGGATCCCCCCCCCTTTCAAGAACAGAGGAACTCCCCTGCCTCCCAGACGGTGGCTCCACACGAAACCATGAGGCCAGGCCTCAGGGGGCAGAACGGGAGGAGAAGCTTCTCCTCCGGGTCACCAGAGGTCACAACGAGAATGACCATCCGAAATACACACACCGGGAGGAGCCGCTCCAACCTTCTGAGAAGATGATTTGGGGCTGCCAGGGAGGTCTAACCTGAGGATATGGGCCAGGAGCCCTAAGGACATGAATTGATGTTAATTTCATCATCATACATCCTAAACAGCTTTTTGAACCATCAGCGACGTTACTCATAGCATGCCGGCAGGGCACCTGGTGTCATAAATCTTAAAGTGGCCTGTTGTGATCACGTTTCGTCACTGTCGGAGATCCCCGCGTCCTTAACCCTCCTGTATTCAGCCTTCTGGCTAAGCAACAATCAAGGAAAAAAAGAAAACACATTAAATGACTGAGTTCTTTGGCAGAGTCTGACTCATGTCCCGTTCCTGTTCCTTCCTCTTGGTGTCATTATTCCGAATTGCGCTGGTGGCAAAAACAGATCAGATAGCCCATGGATCCAGGATCCGATCGCAAGACGGAAGACTTGAATACTACCTATATATGGTAATACCTGGACCATCCTTACGGGTGCCCTGTCTGGAGGCCTATCGGTAGTGTAGGGTAGTCCAGCCAGGATACCCAGGCAGGATGGTCCTGGTATAGCCGCTTCGTCCGTCCGAGACCGGTAGAGTGGTCCCGACAGGTGAACCCAGACACGACGACAGCAGCTGTCTAGCCCAGACACGACGACGGGGCAGATGGACCGATCATGTCTGAGGTGGGCCAGTTTAATGCAGGGGTGGGCCATGGTGGGCCCTGATCTGTACATATTCCACGTGTACACAATGGAGTGTTTGGCTAGGTCGGGTAATAGGTGTTTCCAAATGATATAAAACGTGTCCTCCGTTAAAACGCCTGCTTGGCAGGCCGTTTAGCCTGCAGCTCACTCAACATCCCGACTGGTTCGACGGGTTCGACATGGTTCGACTGTTTCACAGTCGAAGGGTATGCCAGATCCAAGTGCCTGTGACACAGATCCAAGTGCCTTTGGGTGGTCGATCGCCGATCGCCGCTCCGCTGGTCGTTTCAAGGATTGCTTCACCCGCGGGAGCATGAAGGCAAGAGCAGGGTGGGAGGAGATGTGGGATATCGGATACTACGCTATAAAGAATGGCCCGTTCAGTAGCAGAGGTCCATTTTTGCAGACTACTTCACAGTGTGAAACCACAGTTGAGACCACTTGCATGCCACATTTTGGGCGGGGAGCAGATGAGATGATCCAGTTGGTCTTGATATCCCTTGTGGGCTCTTTGGGGTACTGTTTTTCGCAGTGTTACGACCGCCCCGTAAGATGAAGGTGTGACTCCTGCGCGCCTACCCGCGCGCCCGTTTTTGCGCGGGTCCACCGGGTGCAGGTCTTGGTTTTGGAAGGTGAGTCCGGTGTAACCAGAGCCATGGTCGTAACCAGGGCCTGCAGCATGTTCTTTTCCATTCCTATGTCAAAAGAGATGTTTCTTGTGACCTGAACTAGGACTCGTCACCTGGGGTACCCAACTGGGATAGTCTAGTTCGGGTCCTTCAACCTCTGTTGGATGTCAAAACAGGTCAAATTGTGGTTTCGAGATGTTTCGAGTTCTATATAGTTCTATATATTCCCTAGGATTCAAGCAACCATTAATTTAATGGTCTTTACCAAAGAACCATTGTTTTACTAAGGATTTTTACACTACACCACCAGCTCGTTCCCGTTCTTTTAATGGTCGAACTGAAGGCTAGGGTATTCCTGAGAACGACTTGGGAGTCACGATGAGTCACGGTACCCTGCGGAGAGGTATATACTTTACAGTGCGTGGACGGAGATGAGCGACCCTGCCAGGACCTTCCCAGAGGTCTTCAATGAGCTACCCTACATTACTTGTGCATTTCCATGCGAATCTCCATTGGACAGCCAGTATATAATGTTAGATACATTTAATGTGCTCTTTTGCTTGGGGTCGTTTGCGTCAAAAATCTCCTTTGTTCCACAGAATGCGAACTCCCCAAGCGAGGAAATGTGCATGGGAACACCCCAGAAGTCTAGGCTTCATACGACAAATTCACCTGTCCGATAAATAAGGTTTTGTCCTATAGGAGCCCATCGCTATTAGGTTGGAGGCCATCGGCCATCGCTATTAGGTTGGTGTTTTGTCCTTTCCTTCATAGCATTTGGCGGACTTGCAAGCCATGGCGCCGCTCCAAGGTCAGCTTCGACCTTCACTGAAGGGGACCAGCAATGGAACCCGCCTGCGGTTTACCGCGGGTTTCACCAACGAAGCACCAGGGTTTTTCGCTTCGTTGCAGCGATAGAACAAACACATTGTGGTCGAGTTTGGTGACATTTGTCGGGCCGACCCACTGAGTCCGTGCATGTTCAGGGAAGAGTTCAGGTTGATGTATTCCTAAATAAATGATCCCCAAATGGACTGCAGCTTCAGAAAGTTACATGAAGGACAACCTTTTCTTGAACCCCCAGACACCAAAAGTTATGTCCACTCCCAAAGAAAGAACACCCAAAACCACAAGTTCCACAAACCCTTTGCACCCACGCCGTGCGGCGACCTCCCGGGCTTTTGGGGGGGCCCGGGAGTACTCCGGGTCGCGCGGCGTCCGGACCCGAGGAAAAACATCGCCTTCGGAGTCCGGACCGGACCGGACCCGGACCCGCCCGATACGGGCGACGTGACCGTGGTCCGCTTGACCCGTGGTCCGCTTCGAAAGAGCGAGCTGCGCGCTGCGGAACGAGTGGGGGGCCGAGGGTCGGGTGAGTTCCAACACGAGATGGGGAGGGGTAGAACAGTTGGAGTGTTATATTGCAGGATGCGTAGCTGGTACTTTCGAAGATGGATGAATAATCGAGAAGAAGGTGCTCTTTGGATCCAAGATGCTGTACAAACAGAGGAGGTTTGTGTGTGTGTCGTTTTTTTTTTCAGCTGATGTCGCATTTGATATCGCTATCCAAGCCTTCACCCGATGATCATCCACCCGCGGGTGATCATTCGGCCAAACACGGTGACCAGTGCTTTTGGACAATGGTTGGAACAGGCCAAACATGGCCCAAGCAAATTCGAAGGACTAGTTATGACATGGCTACTCGTTTATGTGTGTTGTTTATGTTTTCATGTTCTTTTCGTTTGCAATCAACAAACTTCTTCAATGTGATCTTTTTTGGAGTCCCGAAAAAAGTGACCTTTTTCAGGCTTAAGTGAATTCAAAGCAGGGGATCAAGAGGTCACTTTAAAGAACCAGGAAACTGCAGGCAAACCAAGATGTAGTGAGTGTTACTTCTCTTTCACACCATGCATAAACCACCAAACTAGAAGGTACCAAACTCATTCAAACTCCACCTCTGAAGAAATATCTAAGAAGCACTAAGTAAGACATTCCGCCCCTAGCCACTGTTGTTGATGACGGAAGCCTTCACAAAGTGTGGAGCCCCCATGTTTATTCCAGACCCCCTTTAGTAATTTAATTCTGCGTCCAGTTCACCTAGCACGGAAAAATGCTAAAGCAGCAACTGCCAAAACGTCCTATGGCCAATTCAGTAACGAGTACGTAGTCGTGAATTTCAGGATTCTGCTCAAAACCAGCAAAAGAGGGGGGCCTCCCTCAAAAGTTAACCTTGTTGAATCATCTCCTTTTTGCTTGTTGACCAGACGTTTTGGGAGACGCTCATTGCATCTATCTCCGTAGGGTTCAGATAAGCTTCCAATCAAACCATCCAAACTCAGACCATGTGGTGTGCCTTGGCCTTACAGACCTGCTTGGTACCGTCGATGTCCTGAGGCTGCAGCTTACGGAGTCCTTGGTGTCAGGAGCCGCTTCAGCACCAGCCACTGGGCGTTGTGAAAAAGCGCGGCGCCATCACGGGAGACCGCCGAAGTTGAAGAACCCTTCATAATCTTCATAGACTATCCCATAGGTACCCCGGCAGGGCTTGGGTCATCACTTAACCTTTGTTGGCGTGTTTTTTTTCTGGGTGCCCTGTTGAGGGGGGAATGGATGGCATAGCGCCTATATACGGCCGGCGCGCGAGAAAAGAGCGGTCAAAAAGAATCATACGTGTTTCATACGTGTTTCACATTCCATGATAGAAGAAGCCCTCTTTTCGGACAGAAAGAGAAGGGTTTCCCATTTCATGATAGAAGGGTCGTGTTTCATGATAGAAGAAGCCCTGCACTGGGAAAATTGGCATCAGAACCCCTCTTTCGGGCCCGCGCTGGATGGATGGACGCTACTGCTTTGACGCTCAGAAGATCATACAAGGATCCTTTCGCAAACACTCCATGTATGGTTTAGATGCCTACATTGACCCCAGAAACCACCTAAATGTAGGCATCTATATTTCACACATGGAGCGTTTGGGTTCGATGAATCCTCAAAGCATTGCCGCTTGTTCGAAGCGTTTTTGTGCCCTGGATAAGAACCCATGGAATGGATGAAGTGAGGCCACCATCCATTACCAGATCGGCCAGACATTTGGACTGACCTATATAATATATAATATATACCCAGACGCTCCGTTCACAGCCCGACTGGTTCCTGAAAACCATAGGGATTGGTGAGAAACCCCAGACCCCTCCGAATTCGGGTCCGACCCGGTCCACGCTTTGGGTGCTGGTAATTCTGAATTACACCCTGTCTACCAGGACCCTCGAAACGGGTGCCCTGTCTGGAAGCCTATAGGTAGTGTGGGGGTAGTTCAGCCAGGACACCCCGACAGGAGGGTCCTGTCTATATGGAAACGTCGCCTCTTTTTGTCTGGCTATGTAGCAGAGCCGCTTCCTGCGGCCGCAGGACCCATGGGGGGGCGGTTGCTCGAACCCGGTGTCACGTGACCGGCTCGGCTGGCCATGGCCATGTCCGGTGAGTTCTCAGTGAAAACGATCTTTGATGCGGATAGTTGATGATATGAGGCCTTTCAAAAATGTGCAACCCTCCATATTGAAGAGATTTGAAGAGCAAGTGCGTGCATAAAATAAAGGGGCATGTGTTTGTTCATCAAGAGACTACTTTACTTTGTGTGCTTTGGAGCAGTACACTCGAAGCTGGACATGGTGAACGCATGTGAACGTGAAAGTCTTGGTTGTCGGGGCCCATGTGGAATTGGTCCTATACACACCGAGACTTCTAATAACGCTTCCATGTTAGTGAATCTGAGTTTCGCCACTAGTTCTTTCACCAATGATCTGCAGAAAACGTATGAACACATACACTGGGATTCGGACTTGCCAACATGGAAGTGGAAACTTCCCCTGTTCGTAAAGGAAAGTGTTCACCTGAACCATCCTGTTTGGGTGTCCTGTTTGGAGATCCTTAGGTAGGCTAGTCCAGCCAGGACACCCCTTGGTCCTGGTTATGAGTCAGAGTCAAAATTATCGTCATGTAGTTCTAACTGGGGTGTTTTGTGCAGCTACTGTAGTGTCTTTTGTGTTTTCCTCGACAAACAATAGGGGACGCCCTAAAAACGATACCTCTAAGACTTTCATTGCTGCCAGTGAGATGGGAAGATCCTAGTGGTCAGAGCTTGGAGCCGTTTTGGCCTGCACAGTTGGGGGTCTACTCAGGTTGACCTTGATCATGGGAAGAGCTCGGGAAAGAGTGCGAATCCATTTTTGCTTCTATGTATGGGCGATTATATATACACCAAGATACCCGAACGGTGCCTCACAATGGGCTGGCTGGCTGCCTGGCTGGCTGGCTGCCTGCCTGTGCCTGCCTGTGCCTGCCTGTGCCTGCCTCTGCCTGGCTCTGCCTGCCTCTGCCTGCCTCTGCCTGCTTCTGCCTGCTTCTGCCTGCCTTTGCCTGCTTCTGCTTGGTACTGCTGGCTTGCCGGTGTTCCTTCTGCTGGCTTGCTGCCCCTCTTGGGCTGCTGGTCTACTGGTGGTTTGCTGCTGCTACTGCTGCTGCTACCCACAAATGGCTTCAGGATTCAGGATCCTGCTTGTGTCCACATTGAAAACACAATTCTGACTATAATTATCGATATTTGCGTTATGCCCAGAGTGCCGGAACCTGAGAAACGATACGGGACGCCCTAAGGACTCCTGTACAGCCCTAAGACTCTATAATTAGAGAGATTACGATTCCATCCGATAAACTACAGTGCTCACTGTAACCTGCTCATTCTCCGGCCGTCCCACCCGCGAAGCTTCCGACCGGTCCGATCTCGACCTCGTCGCTGTGGCCCCGCACGAGGTGCATCAGAGTTTGGAAGATCTCGATCTCCGCATGACTCGGCTGGTGCGGGACCTGGCGGTGACGGAGGAGGGGAGGCCACAAACAGCTGCCTGGGCTGGGAAATCAGATGAATAGTGTGAAGGGTCTGGTTTTGGAACGAAGTGTTAGTCTGAAGCTCCTTATTCTTCCCATTTTTTCTGTAACCTGGTATTCTTCCTTAGCCTGTCGCCGGAGCAGCTGCCCTTTCGCAGTTACAGGGGCAAAAGGGTTGTTACAGACCGATCTGCGATGGTCCGGAACTACATGGCCCTCAATCCCTCAATCCAAGTCATCCGGGTTTCCTGGTGAAGGAGGGATGAGTTGACCCAATCCATGGTCGTGTCGACCTCAATCCATGGTCCGTGTGTTTGCCTGCTGAAACACGGTTTCGAACGGAATCATGTCATTCGGACCTCTAGAGTCGCTGTCGCTTTTGGAAGGTGTCGCGTTTGCGCTTCAACCAGGAGTTTGGAAGATGTTGCATTGAAGTTATTAGTTGCCGCACACCAAAGTTTCCAAGGAAAACGGTCTAGTGACCGAAGAAAACCATGTAGTTGCCGAAGATCACCTTTTACTTACCAGACTTACCAAATGGAACCTTGACCTTGTTTTTGTTTCAGTTTCTGGATGGAAGCACAGAAAACACAAACCCGCACGTCACTGATTTCTAGACAAGGATCAAGGGCTTGACACTTTGGGTCAAAAAGTGCGCGTGGTTTGCAAACGTCTATGAGTTTATTGAGCCTGGGATGCGCCTCACACAGTTTGTGGTGATTTGGTTGATGTCCAAAAAGTTGTAGTTGTTGTGACCCCTGCCAGTTTTGCCAAAGCCTTTTTCGTTCCAATCCTCTTCAGGACTTTTCGAAAGCAAGCGAAGGGAAGGGTCGGAGTCCGATGCACTCGATGGATGAGAAGCTTATTCTCACAAGCGCATCCCCCCAGGGAACAGAATCGCAATTGTATGCGATGTGCCCATCAACAGCAATGTTGAATCTTTGTCAGCAACCCCGCAGAAACTCAATTCTAAGATGTTCTAAGAACTCCAGGTGAATAGCAATCAATTGAAAACAAACATGAACGACATACGACAATCGTGTTGTTCTCAAATTGTCCATTCCGAGAGAAAGTACTGGACAAATGGACCAGAGGCAAGATGGCAACAACGCGTCGTTAAGCGATTGGAACTCTTTTTCGCCAAAGTAATGATGTCTAGGGTGGTTGGTCTCATACAAATCTCGGGACCCACGGTGTCGGAACACATTGCCCCTTCCGAAGTGTCTTTACATCCATGAAGGAGGGGGGGGGGCCCAAGCAAAGGCTTATTGATCAAGGTACCAGGTTTTTGGATGTTTTTGGACTAATGACTAATTGGAAACAAGGTCCAATTTGGACACCTGCTACCCTAAACAGCAAGAAAACCTCAATGAATGGAAAAGAGTGGTCTTGCAGTCCTGTGTCAGACACTCCCAGGTCAGCGCGCTGGAGACCGAACGTGACCATCGACGTTCGGACAGCGACACTTGGAGTACGGGCCAGAAGGGGCCATCCGACCGGAGACTGCCTGCCTACCATGTGGAGTTCGGTGGAGGTTCTGTCCCGATGTGCTAGGGGGGGGACACCTCCAGGGCAAAAATCCGATGTATTGGTGGACCAAAAGCCACCGAAGCTGGGAGGATCCTCCACCCAAATCCAACAGGTGAAAAGTGAACCTTTATTTACCGAAGGCAAACCGGCTGGGGCGGGGTCAGGCCTGACCTCAGGCCTGTTTGCGGCCAGACATTCCAGACATTCCAGACGGGACCGGGGTGAGGCCTTTGGTTTGACGGAGTTCAAGCCGAGGATGTCGACGATGTTGGACACTTCTGCTGGTTGTATTGCCATGCCAGAGGGTGCCAAAGTGTCAGCAAGGCGCTTCTCCCAGCAACCTTGCTCTGGTTCCAAAGGGTGCAGGACTGGCCCGGGCCAGTCATGCCAGGACAGCATGCAGATACATGATCGAGTGTGGTTTCGACCGCTGGTGAGACCTAGATGGTCTGAGGCAACGACGTTCATTGATCATGCTTTCCATCCATTTGCTGCGTTGCTGCCAACCGGCAGCTTCGATGCATCTGGAACCATTGGCGCGAACCTAACGGAACGGCAGTGCAATTGGGGATTTGGTTGCCACCAAAGCAACATTCTCGCCCATCTCCGAAATCGATTGGAAAGTCGCAGTCTTTCTGCGCTGCATCCGGCATCCAGGTGTGCTCCTCAATTTTGGTCCATTTTTTCTCAAATTTATTCTACCCAACTCCACCCCAGACACTCCATGGGACTGCCATATATGCCGATCAGTTGGGGTGGTTGAAGAGGGGCCAATGGGGCGGCATATACATGGCAGTCCCAGACATGTCATGTCGCAAGTCGAAAAAACAGTGGGTGCGCAACGTCATGCGTGCATGGCGCGCTCCCCTAAGGAACGTCACCATGCCGCCCTGAGCGACGTCATGGACTCTTTGAAGGCGACGAGTCGCCGAGTCGTCTCTCACGGCGGGCGGAGGGGATCCAAGGCGAGCGACGCGGCGGTCCTCGCCGGTGACGACCGGTGGTCCGCTTGGCGGGGGACAGAAGCCGATTCTGATGAAGACAGTTCAAAAACGAGAAGAGATATATTAAATATATATATTTATAGCTATATGGTAAAGTGATGCAATATGATGATCATGCAATGACATAAATTACTACCAAGTCTTTGGAAGCCCAGGACACAGGCATGCAGCCTCTTTTGATCTGCGACGTTCCCAACCGTGTGTTCCCATTGAAGCGGTAAAAAGAGGCGAGTGCCTCATGCAAAAAAGCTCACAATTCAAGCGATTCTATTTGGAGATGTTCAGGGATTGGCAACCAGAGTGTTTTGTGTTGGTTCAGGCTGGGACACTATTTTTCACCCAGATAGCTGCGGAACTGCAAGAGTTGCTGGTGTGGCACGCCACTTTTGCAGCCAGGTCGATTCCTATTTGACCAACCAACATGTACTACAGGTCGAACGTTGGTCCTAGGAACTAGGAGAGAGTTTTGGCGGTCGAACGTGTCTATTCTTGAGTAGTCTTCCGAATTCGAACTCTCAACAAGATTTACACTCTCACATGGCTATGAAAGTGGAGCCATCCATGGCCATCCATGGCTATGAAGTCAACAGGACGATCGGACGTCCAAACAGGGGCTGCACATCCACGTCCGATGGGGCCCTCAGGCGGAGCGCAGCTTGCGGGGCAACGAGGCGAGAAAGCGATCGGAGAGAAGGAGAAGGAGATTTGTTCATGTAAAAAAAATGAACCAGGTGAATAGATATCACCCAGATAAACATGAACAAATCTCCTTCTCCTTCTCCAGGTGATATACCAGGTGAATAGATATCACCCAGATACTGTAGTTGGCGTCTTTTTTTTGCCGTCTATGGTGGTTTTAATGCAATGTGTGTGTTTTAATTTATTTTAAATATCAGTGTCAGACAACCCATATGAACGACCAATGTCCATAAGCCTGTCGCAAAAAAAGTAGTTTGGTAACTCGTGGGTGAAGACGGAAACCAATAACTCTTGTCGATATTGTGTCCTGCTACGATCATCATTGGCCTGAGACACATCCACCTCGCACTCAACGGACATCCACCTCCCACTCATCGCATCAAGTACTATGGGCCAGACTCCAAGTACGACCATCGCACCATCTTAGTGAACTTCGTGAACTCGATGAGTTTTTGCTCCATTGTTCGTACGATCGTTCGTTCGTCCAATTCTCAGTTCCATGGGCCTGAAGATCGTGCGAAAACGGCGTATCTCCACGTGTTGGCCAAGTGGGCTGCGGACTTCGCCCAGTGATGGAGGAGTTAAAACCCTAGCATGCAATAGTAATAAACCTGTGGGATGTGAGGGACCCGCGAAGTTGATTCGAGGAGAGATTTGGAGCTCCAATTCAAAGATATTCGAAGTACCATTAGGCCTGTTCTATTACCTACTGTATCAATTTGTATAACAATCGGTCAAGAGTTATGACGTGTTATCACTGATCACTATTGTACAAAAAGACCTTTCCCAACGATCATCATCCACTGGGCCCTGGATGACATGGAGAGACCCACTCGATATATCCAATCCAAGTACCCAATCAGGGGAACTCCATGAGACCTAACCCACTGGGCTGGCCAATGGGGTGGCTAACCGCTCGGTGGTCTCGTGGCTCATGGTGGCTCAAGCCTCAAAGTAGGGCTCAAGCCTCGCCACCCGAACGGAGACGTCCGGCCGAGCGAAACGTTCAACTGAGGGCTTTCGAAGGGTTGAGCAAAGAAGCGCACAGCAATCTGAATCAAACCCAGGTGCCTATCAACATCTATTCAACCCATGATACAAACAGGAAAGCACGTTGCCCTCTAACATGACTTGGTGGGGCGTACTAATATGTCTCCCTGGCAAAATGCTAGCTAAGTTGTTGCACAGTTAACGCATGCAGGAGAGTTGCCCCATGCCCCACCATCGCATCTAGTTTGTACATTCTTGTGGCCGAACACCTTGGTGGCGAACCTTCACAAAGTAATTCACAGTATTCTAGCACCTACAAGCAACCTTGGCCAATGGCACCAAGGGCTGCTGACCAGGATGGTGTCTTCGGCTGCAGGATATAGACAAAGAACGATCCCAGAAGGAGCAGCGGAAAGTGCCACTTGAGGCATTGGCCCCAAAAGAACAACGCCAAAAGAACTCTTTGATTAGAGATAGCGTCCAGTAGCCCTCACCTTCCCAATCTGAAGTGTTTGCAATTATGCCCAGGGTCTACCTAACCTTGGGTGCGTGCTGGAAAAAAAAGCACAACAGTGCTGTACCCTAGCTATAGTTGGTGATATCAATCTTTACTTGGGATGATCCGTCCCAATGGCTCAGTGACTAAAATTCATAGGTTGGTTGAAAACAGGAACCAGCTGAGTGTCCAAGTATTTTTTAAAGGTGTTGTATTGAGAAGACTGAGAACTGGATACTAGAAAACCCAGGTGCTGTGCGTTTTTCTTTTTTGGTCGGAAGGACAGCTAGCTACGGAAGCTGGGCATTGATCGAAGTGAGGACAGCTAGCCAGCTGTTCGTTCAAAACTCATGTTGCAAAGGTTGTACAACCAGCTACACTGGTTTCAGGTTAGATATCGATGGCACAAACACCCAAAGAAGTCCTTTTTATTGGGGTCCATATAAACCACGAAACTTGGGGAAACTGTTCCATCGAACCTCGAACCTCTGCAGCTGTTGGATCAACCAGCTGTTGGACAGCTTTCCACAGCCAACGGCGAGCTCAGGGTTGATATAACAAACGAGCTCAGAACTCAGAACCGCCCGAGGGGTGCAAAAAAAGGCTTTGCAACCAATAAGGGCCTTCGGAATGTAGAGACAATCTGGATCGCTTAGTTCGGTGCTTTTGTAACAGTCCACACCCTAGCTTCGCTCATCCGCCTGCAGGGGTGGGGTAGGGACCGGGTCCGCACAGCACCGCTCCGTTTTCCTGGATGAGATCCCCAAACCGTTCGTGAACAGAGCGACAGTTCCTGCTGTGATCGTCATCAGATGGCAGATGCCAAAAGTCACATCAATTCAGGATCATTCCGATTTTAGGGACGCATGCTTTTCCCATCTGCAAGAGGGTTTGTGGACACATGCCGACCGGTTAGGTCGGGAAGTGGACCTGGTGTTGGGCAGCTTGGAATCAGAAGCAGCGGGGACGGTAGCGAAGCAGTGGGGCGCAGACGAAACCTTTTCATGTCAAGTGCTAAGAAGTTTCTTGGCGAAGGGAATGTATTTTTGGACAAGGATCCCTGTGAACATGAGGGGCGAAAGAAATGCCCCCCTTTGTGTTCTTGATGATCCATTCCCTTTTTTTGAGGGATCTGTTAGCATTCGATGGAGGGTTGCTTGGAATGTAGCCTGTACCAAGTGGAGTGCTGCAAGGAATTCCACAGTTGCATTCAATAGACTCCCTGAAATAATTGATTGTGGAAGTGGACAAAGGCCCCTTGGATGACCATTTTCTACAAACAGGTGGTTTTCCACTTCCATGATTTTTTCATGGAGTGTACCCAACAAGGAATTGTTTCAAAGTCATCTCCGCTCTGTGAGTGGTTAGTATGTATATATGGTTATCCTCACCGAGTAGGCCCTTGGTTGGGGCAGACGGAGGGCCTCAGAGACCCTTCTCAGCTCAACTCAGGGGCTCTTAAGACCTACAGACACCGGCTTTTCCGGCTGTTTGTGGCCTCTATAGAGGATGGATGGATCCTCCGAGTTGATTCGTCGGGAAGATCGGGAAGTCGTCTCGCGCACGTCTCGCGACCGGGTTGTAGGAACCGTGGTTCGATGACCTGGATTGATGGCCGTTTTAATGGCCAACAAGATGGCAAAGATGACACAGTGAGCTTGTAGAACAGGTTTCTTCTACAAAACTCGGAAATCGAAGTGGTCCAATGCCCAAGAACGGCGGAGCCCGCGCTCTGGAGCCTCCAGGCTGCGCTGGCTTTGCTGGTCCTTCTTTGTGCATGGCTTCTACGGTCAACACCAGAGGTACAGGTGGGCTGTCTTTTGCTCAGTGGACTTGTTTGCTGGGGAGGTGCAGGGATTTGCAAGCAGAGTGGAGATCTGATATATATATATATATAGATTATATATATATAGAGATATAGGTTTTTGGAGGGTGGGAACCTTAGGTGTACTTACTTCCCACACGTGATCGACCGTCAGAGCAGTTTTCTTGGAACTGAAAACAAGCTCGTTAGCATCCACTGGGAGGAGAACCGTCCAAAACTAACCAGGATTCATTCTAGTGCCCCCAGAATAGAGAATCTTGGTGCGAAGCTTCCATATGGTCGGACAACTCCTACGGAAGACGCTTCATCGAGTTTCTTTTTGGGCCGCATTTGGACAGCAAAGCCCACCCCAGTCCCCCCGTCCCGAACCGAACACGGCCCTGCCGCATCCCGCGTCCCCGCCGTGTCGTCCGCGTCGGTGGAACGACAGGTGCCTTGGAGCGACGCGGGCTTCTACTATGAAGGCATCGTCGTTCGTCCGGGGCGTTCGGGCACCGGTGATAGGACCGGTGGTAGGGGGAAGACATCGATGGCGACATGCGACGCGATTTTCCTGGTCCAAGGAGTTGACCTAACCTTTTTGGAGGGATGGTTTTCATTTAAATCTACCAAAAGGAACAGGTGAAATATAGAGAAACTGGGTGGTTATAGCATGGCAATCTGAAAAGAATACGCAACCACTTGCAATCGTGTAAATACCGATTCCGATGACTTGTCGTAGCGCCAGATCCCGCAAAAAAGGAAAACCATCCGGAAGCCTCGGACCAGCAGTTCCAAAAGGAAAATGAGTGGATGTGGCACCCATCCAGGGCTCGTGGATGTGGCACTCATTTTCAACCCCAAAAATCATCCCCTATCCTCCAATTCGTTCGGTTGCCTAACTCCATGGAACTGCTGACTTGATCTGATCTTGATCCCCCCTAAATCATCGCCCGCCGGCATCCGTCGACTGCGACGCCCGAGCACCAACCCCCAAGCTTCGGAGTTCGACTCGTGTTCGCTTCGAGCTCGTTTCTGGAGAGGGCGTCTTGAGAGGTGTGCGATTTTGCTTTTGTCGTTGACTTGCTGCTGCCTTGCTTCGTGACAACATGGGGTGGGGGGGGGGGGGGGTAATGACGTCGAGTTTCTTTCGTTCAGTTGAAGATAACCTTGTACTTCGTTTACTTTAAGATAACTTTGCACTTCGTTCACATTAAGATACCTTCGTACGTTTTTCACTTTAAGATAGCTTCATAGTTCGTTGCATTGTGCAGGATTTTGGTTCAACAATGGTTTGCCCCCAAGCCTTAGTCTTGGTGTTCGTCTTGTTACTTCGCATTGCCGGTCAGCCGTGTCCGTCTTCGGATCGTTTGCTGTTGTTTTTGCTTCGTGTGAATCCGTTTACCCTTGATCAGTACATAGACGGTTGGTGCCGTTCTGGTCTAGATTCGCTCGATCCGGATAGATCTTGGTGTGATTGGTCCGATTTACCTTCTTACATACCTTTGTTATCAGATGGGTGGAACACAACTGGCTGACAGCTCATGGAAGAGCTTGAAAGCTTGGAGACCCAAGCATGTGAATACAACCAAAGCAAGGAGTCGAACAGTCAATCCGGAACTCTTGAACTATATGTTCGGAGTTGGCAGTTTCGCTATCACCACACAGGAGATGATCTCTTC